CAGGATGCCTCAGAGATACCCAGGGCTCTCCAGGGAAACTCAGGGAAGCACAGGGAAATTCAGGCTACCTTAAGAAAACTGAGATTCCAAAGGATTGGGGGGGTGTCCCTTGGCACCCTCAGTGCCCCTAGAATACCCAGGCCACCCAGCCACCCTAGACACCCTCAAACTTCTTCAAGGTAGTTTATAGGTGCCAGGGCTTGAGAGTATTTTTCCAGATGCACCATGTGTCACATCTTCTTGGCTGCGGGGGGAACATAAGGGAGAGTGTTGGAGAGAGGAACAGATGAGAGGAACAGATGACAGTGGGTGGACAGCTTGGGGAAATTTGAAGATAATCTGGGGTTTTGACCCTCCCTCAGCACTTGATGATGCAACAGGTTGGTCAGGAAACACTTGAGAGGACAACATAGTGGTAATAGGAAGAGAAGAAATTGACTCAAAAACCCAGAGTGCCAGCTTTATAAGGGCTTCAGACTTAGAGTTTTTGATTGAAATCCAGCAGCCGGCATATTGAAACTCAATCTGACAGCATGGCAGTCACAACACTGTGTTGCACCAAAAGCTATGTGTCCTTTCGAGGGCTCAAGGACCGTTGGGGGGGGGGGGGTAATGTTATGCCCTATGCTATTTTTTTTGCTCTTTCCAACCAGTACACTCACCCCATGACTCAATGATAGTTCTACTATTTAACCCAGACTCCCCACATCCAACATGTGTTTCTCAAGATGAGCTAATCAATTACTCATTCCAACTCCTATTCACAAGACCACATGTCTTCCTGCAGAGTATAAAAGCCTCGTACTTACATATCTCACAATAATCCTGTTATTACCTGAACTATCTTGACCTGTGTTGTTTCTGTTCTCTTGTTCACTAGTCTTTAATATTATTCTGCTTAACACTGAGTTGAGCAAACCCCATTGACACTGAGTCACTGGCATATCTACCTCTCACTTGTTGAACTGATCAACAAGACTATTTGACTGCCGTAGCCTTTTGAATATTCTGACTTGTAGGGTAAACAGACACCGAGTCCTGAACCTCCTGAGTCAACCCTCATTAATACCATTTTAATGAGTTCTTTTGATATACAATTTCTAGTTGCACTGAGCTACTAGATTTATTATTTGACACTTGAGGATCATTCCTCCACATTCAATACCAAAACTGTACAGGACTTATTCACCTGTCATATGTAGTGACTCCCCATCACATATCCCTGAGAATGAGGATTATTATGATGATATTGGCATATCTCCAACAACATGATATACATCTATAGGAGCAAGACATGAGGTCATCTCCCCATTAGAACATATCAGACATCCACTTTCTCTCACACCAAGAGAAGAAGAACCTAAATTTGCATTGCAACAATCAGAATGAGAGACAAGTCAGGGGTTATACCCATCAGGTCCACTCTCATTAAGGGGCCCATGATCTCTGTTCAAATTAAAATGGTCTACTCTGATAGTAGAAAGCAACACAATACAGGCTCAAGGATTGTTGAGTCCAATCCCTGATATAAGTAGAAGAACTGTCTCATTGCTGGAGCAAAGCAGTTACGAGTGCATGGAATGAAATGAAATGCTGAGTTTTAGAGGTGGTGAATTCTGTGCCTGATCCTTAACAGGCAACTTTATGTTATTCTCATTCTTCATTACTCAAATTGAATAGGGGAAATAAGTAAATACTGCGCACTTCCATCATTGTAATTGCATCATAATTCAGTTAACTTGTCAGAAGTCCTAATCATGAGTGGCATGGAATGGAGTGGAATGCTGAGTTTCTGCTCTGGCATGATCCAAGGCAGGCAATTTTGAATTGACCTAATTTTTGCAATTTATACAATTTGGTTAGTTTTCATTACTTACATTGATCTGCGAGGCATTTAATTTATTCCAATTACAGCCATTTGCAAAAAGTTTTGCCCCCTCGAGTTTTCTACTCATGTTTATTTGTATTTAGTATTTTGATAGGATTCCTATATAATTCAAGTGCCGGTGTATGCCCGAAGATAGCAATGGAACCATCCTTGGATGGTGGTTCCATACGATTTGGTGGGCCTGGGCCTCAAAATGTATAGGATGAGTAAATACAAATAAACACGGGTAGAAAACGAGTGGGCAAAACTTTTCGCAAATGGCTGTACTGAAAAGGGCACGAGTCCCGCCATGCATTAGCATTGGCCCACTTTGTGTCAAGTCTGTTACCTGCTCCTCTAATGACAGAGGAATTTGTGAAGGAGGCACAGAGTTGGAACCATGAGAGTTCCTTAATGTCTCCTCCCTACTCAAACATTCATGTTGTACTGTCAACAGAATTAACACATCAATTGGTTGCTCTACTTCAAATCAATCAATACATACATTTTAAATTAATAAAGGCAATGCAACACTACATTCAAATTATTAACAGTCAAGACCCAGAAACAAAGGACAATTTTTGGGTACTAGCACCCTATTTTCAGAAATGTTTAATGCAATGACCTTCCCAGCTACCTAATGGGATAAATAATGAAATATTCCAGTCAAAAGAAGTATACAAAGGAGCCCTATGGCTATCACAGTTGATTATAGATCCCAAATGAATGGAAATGGTGAACAAGGCCACTATAAGGCATCTCAAGTCAATACAAAAATCTCAAATCAATTTTCTGCTCAATACAATAGTGGATAATAAAAATGTCTTCGAGGGTCTGGAAGGGACATTGTGGATGTGTTGAGAGATGAACTTTGTTTGAGAAGAGGGATGGAATCACAGTGTCAAGGATATACCTTCAACTGTTCAAGACCATCAATACTCCATACCCTCAAAAAAGGGAAACATATCTCAACTAGACCTGTTCACATCCAGGACAGTTAATAAGAATCACCTACAATGGAAAATATGTTCTGTGGCTACTAGGCACTTAGCATTTCCAACAAAATAGAGGTGTAAGATTGGCACAAAGTAGATTAAGCTGTAACAACACTAGATTTATGTCACACCTGGCACATCCTCTCTTTCTCTGCCAGCATCTTGCAATTGCACTTTTGGTAGTGTTGTTGAGATTCCCAATGAGCACACTTCACCGTCTCTTACTCTTCTGCAGGTCCCTCTTCAAGTTTCTGTAGCTTTTTCTGATTCTGCATTGATCCATGAGCCTGTGAAATTTACTGATTCCTATAACAAATGTTTGAGAATCAAATCTCTTTGAGGTCAGTGCAATCTCCTACTGGTCATAATATTCCCACTTGTATAACCAAATTTTGTACTGTTTCCAATGTGCAGTATGCTCTTTTATCATGTCATCCACCATATCCAAAGGGCAATTCCAGTTGGATAAGAGATCTTTGTAGTCTTGGTCATAGGTCATTAACTGCTGGATATATTCCAGTGCCATATCCAAGTGAATTTTGAAAGGCATGAGAGCTGCGAGAGTATTTCATAAAGGACATTAGCCTATTGCTGGTGGACAGAAACCTAAGCTTACAGTCTGTGTCAATGAATGAGATGAAGGAAGAAAGAAGGACAATGTGACTCAATGGCAATAAGTCATGTGGCCACTTACTGATGGAAGTTGATACAGACCTGCCCTGGAAGCCCTTCGAGTCAAAAGTGGCAGTGCATCCAATGTAATTAATTGAATCTACCTGTGTATCCAGTATCTTGCCTGCTCAATATGTCCAAATCGGCATTCAAAATAGTAAAATATATTGAATCTTCAGTCTTCTATATCATTTTTATCATGATCTCATATGACTCACTGCCATTGTTGATATACATGCTGAATATTGAGATATCACCACAGCATAGCAAGTGCTATATTAGGAAAGATTGGCAAAACTGCATAAACGCAGAAGTATTTTTGCCAATTCTGATTTTTCATCATGTCCTCAAACCACAATCTTGAGTGTGGACAATGGACTCTTGTATCTGGATATTGAATTCTCAGGTAAGTTTACTTCAAGGTTAATTTACAATACTTGCTGGACTTACAATTGTCAGGACTATGTGGTGAGTAATACTTCAAAAATCAGACTCAAGAAGTCACTTATGAACTGAACCAATGCTGGATGGCTAGAAGGAGCTTTGCAAAAAGGTATTGCACTCCTTGCCATAGCTATTAAAGCTATTCTTACATCTGAAAATTGCAGTGTAGGAAGCATGCCAAGGTTTAAAACTGTATATCTGGCACCAAATGTATCCCGGCCCTTTATTCAGAGGCTTCCTCTGCTGCTGGACTCAAATGGAGACCTACTGCATCAATTCTTGGCTGAAATCATCCTGCTTCTGTTTGGAATGCAACTTGCACCCACAGCAACAATTGAAAAATGGGAGTTGAGTGTCTGGCCTACTGGTAACCTCAACAGCTATGTGGTATTTGGGCTAAATGCCATGCACAATAAACTACACTTACCTCTTTGCACAGCTCTGGATGACAACTGTGCTCGAACTGACAACAATGCCTTCTGGGGATGCAATATCATAGGAGTAGCTTGCACTGAGGAAGGAAAATCACAGCATGCATGGAACTCAGATATAAATCTATTGCGAAACCATTTACAAGGGTAAGTCTTTGAACCAATACATTCACATACCATATTCATGAAGATATCCAGCTTGTCGTGCCCTCACAGATGTAAAAAGCTGGAATGCTCAGAGTAATACTTACCATAGACTCTGACTCTGACTTTGTCAACTGGCTGTGTAAAAAGTTCATTTGAGAGCTTATTCTAAACAAGTACATCCTATTTTAAATTGAGGTGCCATGAGTACCTGCAGGAACAACAATGAAAGCTCACAAGGGTTGTAAATGATTTACCATCTCAGGCCTATTGTAGTGGAAAGTTTTGGTTCAAATTGGCCTGGCAGTGTACAGTTCAAATGTCCTGTTGGAAGTAGTTTATCAAAATTAGTTGAGAATCATGGTTCAAAAGAAATTTGCATTATCTATTCTAGCCACAAGTGCATAGGGCGCTCATGATAGGAATACTGGCTTTGCTTGAATTATTGCCCGTATGGTGAAATGGTCCAGCATCACTTGTGGTCGATGCATCAAGAAGGATGCAATGGGTTCAATCCCCATTATGGGCATTGGGCTGGGATGGGGTGTGCCCAATCTGTATTATTTATTCCTAGTAAGGGGGGTAATCAGTAGAATATTTCCCAACTTGGACACACACCCTTGATCCCAGTCCATTTTTTTTTTCCATATTTTTGATGACTCCATCCTGGGAAATTAAATTTTTGTTGTCCTCCAGTCATCTCTGGCCATGGATGCTCTCATGAAGTCACTGATAAATCAGGTATCTACTTTGATTTTGACTCTATATTGATTGAGCATACTCTAAGACACTTCATCTAGATTAACTGGGTGTTATGCCCTACGCTATTTTTTCTGCTCTTTCCAACCAGTACACTCACCCCACGACTCAATGATAGCCCTACTATTTAACCCCAACACCCCATATCCGACATGCATCTCTTGAGATGAGCTAATCAATTACTCATTCCAACTCCTATTCACAAGACCACATGTCTTCCTGCAGAGTATAAAAGCTTCGTACTTACATATCTCACAATAATGCTGTTATTACCTGAACTATCTTGATCTGTGTTGTTTCTGTTCTCTTGTTCACTAGTCCTTAATATTATCACACCGCTGATTATTTTTTTTCACCTGGCGTGAAAATAGTTAGGAAGAAATGAAATTCATAGCTTAAAGGAAATTTAGGGTTTCTCAAGATCATTGAAGCATAATATTTCCAGCAGTTAGGGAAAGAAATAATTTCACTACTGGAGAAGTTTCCAACTTCCGTTGCTGAGAAAGGGAATGAGAATTTCGATCTTTCCATTTTAAGAAGAAATGCTGAACTTCAATTGTTTTATGAGTCTTAGGTTTTCAATGAACTCAGGAAGTTTATTGTTTCCAATAACATTTCACTGAGCAATGGAAGTCTAAATATTCCCATCCGCCGCCACTCAGTGCGAGCTGAGCCCCGGCTCCTCTATTTTTTGGTCACCCAAGAAGGCGCGCAGTGCTGGTGCACGCCGTTCATGTGACTCGAACCCGCCGCCCGCCTCCACGTGACTCTTTACATCGCGGGTCGAGGATTGGGCAGCACCGTTCAGCACATTTGAGCTTCTGTGTCCTGTTTCCTTAATGTCAGTCAACTTTTCTATATAGCTGACTAGAAATATCTTGATACTCACAGATCTTCTTTTTCCAGGCCTTCGTGACAGGGTTGAAACTGAGAATAGAAAAACACTCCCGAATATTCATGCAGTTGAAGTGACCCCGAACGACTCTGAAATATCTAGCGTCCGCCTGTATGCAATTGTCATTGCCCACTCAAAAGTTAAGTGGAGGGTCAAAGCATCCAGGAATTACTGATTACCTCCAAGGTTTTTGTCCTCAAACCTCTTGCAATGTGGCTTTGGCTATACCACCGTTACCATTCTGTGGATTTCTAAGTTGGAAATTTGGATGGCTGAGTCATTTACAGATCTATTTGAGGTCAGTCATATTGTCCTTATAAAAAGTCTTTTTTCTTAACTTTGTGGCAGGTTCTGGATCAAAATTCCGTCAACAGCAGTAGAGAACCAACAGAAGATAGACCGATTACAGCTACTTTGGCCCCAGAAATCAGAATTGCTCCTCCGCTCAAGTCAGCGGTGCTACGGTCTTCGCGAAACGGTCTTTGCAAATGGGGTTCCACAGCTACTAAGCTTACCAGTCAAACTGAAATGCTCCTCCCCGGAACAGCTCATCCATCCACGGTTCATCATCTTGCTCTTTCTCTCCATTTCTGACACCCCCATCCCTGTTGTATCGCAACCAAGCGAAGGCTGAATCATGCGAGACCATTTCATGATGGATTCGGAGTCAAGGACGCTGATACTTTCCTAATTTGTCCCCATCTTTTGCCGTGATACGAGGAAACCTCCAGAAACACCTATATTTCTGCTTTGGTCTCTGACATGGACTATGTGGGCTGTCTCCTTCACCTTGCTCTCAAATTCTTCCCCTCCTGACATCCCAAATGCAGCATTCAGAGCCAAAGGGGTCCAAGGAATCAATAATTATTTGATTCATGTACGAAGAAGCACCAGGAACTGTCCATGTCGTTTTCTCTCAAAGATGGTCCGTAGGTCATCTCTATAGGTTGTCTTTGTCATCTGTCGCCTCCCTCACCTTCCCATATCCTCTCCTGAATGGGATCCTGGGTCGTGCTTACTACATCTTTGCAGTACTGTCTTGTACACCGACCTCAAGTATCAAAGTGTAAATGAGCAATCCATATGTGCGACCAAAATCTCACAAATGTGGTGAGGAGAGACGAGGAGAGCCTATTCCTGAACGCTCGTATGTGCAACCCACCTGTTAAAGAATCCAGGATATCTGTGGGCCTTAATGCTGTCTAGTGATGACTGCATCAGCCTCAAGACCAGCCTCTCCAAATATTCACCTCACAAATGACTCTCTTTTCATCCTTCTGTCAAAAATTTTGGCCGAGTAAGCTTCTACAATTTTTTCTGTCCAGCATTGCTGACGAACGCAGACGAACGCTCGATTGTCGCATAGAATGAGTTCCTGCCTTTGCGCGTGGAAATACCTTTGCACAACTAGAGGGGTTGCCATAGACCTTGGAATACGCAGCGTAGAATGAAGGAGCCAAGCAAGATTTTGATTGTCTACATCGGAGCAGGATCGACCTTGAAACATGTAGTCGGTTGTTCATAATCAAGTCACGCTAGGTGTGATTTCTCATATTTGTTCTCCACTCTTCTTATGCATGCCTCCAGCTCGCAAATCTGCCCACGTAGCTCCTGCTCAAGATAGGTATACGCACAGACTTTCGCAAGGCAAGTACAATTTTGTAGTTTAGATGGTCGAACTTACCTGCTTCTTTTTTCTAGCTTGTCAATCTTGCCAGCGACAGAAACGTAGGTGTGTCTGGTCCAACAATGACTCCTGCGAGAGATGCAAAAATTCCAAAAAAGGTCCAGTCAACATATTTATTTTTGCTTTGATTTCTCCTCATACGATTCATCTAGCCTGCATGCGAAGGCTTCAGCTGATCAGAGGACCAAGGGTGCAACCAACAGAGTTAGCACCATTCCTGAACCATATCAAAGTAGATTCTGCGACAGAACTTCCAGCGCCGCTGACAGGAGAATCATCTACGAACTGTAGCAAAGTATATTCTGCGACACAACTTTCGACACTACCGACAAAAAAAATCTCTACAAACCGTTTTAGCCATTCTCATGCTGTCAAGGATCCAGCTGTATCTTTTGAAAGGAGCGGGGAAGCAACTGCGACGGTATATATTACACTATCTTGAATGTCTCTCAGTTAACAGACATATTTAAGCCTTTGCGCGGAGAGAGATCGATGTACTATGCAGACAGCGCCTCCAACCTACATCCAACCATCGACCAGGACAGTGTGCAGATCCCATACGTACCACCCACGGATGCGATTTGGTATCCTGTGGTGGAAACTTCTTTGCAGAATGCAATCTTTCCACCTACCCTCAACTCCGAATTCAATACTACACTCGACGATTTCAATCGATATAGCTTTCCCTACCAGGAAGTGTGTGGGAACGGTGGCAGTATGAATGTGTTGGCGAATTACTTCCTTGGACAATTTCTGTAAATTCATTGAATTAGAGAATTTAACACTAAGTTTAGGACACTTCGTGAGGTCTTCGCAACATTGTATAACAGATCCCTAAGGTACCAAGATGAAAAGGGACATAGTCTATCTTTGCGAGACCGTCTGCCTAGACATAACAAGAATGAACGGGAAATGTGTCTAGGCATCAGAGTGAAGCCGAACGCACCCTGAAGAGACAGACCCGACCTATACAGCAGGACGCATAACAGAAGCTTTAAAAAATAGTCATAGTCAAGCTCACCTTTGCTACCCCACTTGCGAGAAGGTATGAAACTGAGGTGGCAGAAAGGAACCAAGGTACAAGATTGACTGCTTCGGGTGTGCGCAAATCTAAAGTTGTAACTGTAAATGAGCAAATATTGCACTTGAAAAGGAAAGAATCGCATCTTTTTGCTTGCAATGATTACAAGCGCTCGTGTCCTGGTGTTGATATGAAGTAGAGCTTTGATATGCGATCATTGAGCGCTTTCTATAGTTACGGATGGCTACTCTGTCGAATTCAAAAATAGCGATATCAGTCCTTTCATTCAGTGTCAATGCCCCTCTCATTACAGTTAATACTATGCGGAAAATGTTCAAGGTAGTATACAAATGTATGAGTACATGTGCAGCTCAAATTGCAAAAAAATTGCTCCATGGGTTCGGTGAACTCATTGAATCAGCACATCTAGTATCACCATGGATGTGAAGAAAGGCACTGAGAATGCCATTGAGCTGGAAATTTTTGGCTGGGGGGTGTTGTACTTCCTTTCGACATATGGGGCATGAGTAGTCCCAGAAATGAGTCTTGCACTGGGAAAACCAAAGCTATAAGAGCATATGAGAACAGACGAACAGACAATGGGACGTTCAGTTGCACCTGCAAGCAAATTTGACAGGAGCTATGCCCACAGCCGAGACTAGGACATCCATAAGATTTAGTGAGCATGAAACAGATAACATACATACACACAGGGTTTTCTTAACAAATTTTTGCAGATACTACAATTGAGACTATCTTCAAATTTCATCATATCCTGGAAGAGTGAATCAGTGACCTGAACAACACATAACAACAATCGTTGTCTTCCCTTACCTCCTTGAACTTCTTCCTCACTCCCATGACCCCATTTTGAGTGGAATCCAGCTTTCGCTTGACCCCAGCAAGCATATGGGAAATGCTGAGCTTTGCCTGTTTGTCAGAAGGGGATTGCTTATGGCAACCAGTACGATAAGGATCCTCTAAATCCTCTTCGCAACTGTCGCTGTCCAACAATAAGTCAATAATGGTGGATTGTTTGTTATGATCGGTATGGTCAGAATCTTCCTGCCCGCTAGAGAGTGTTTCAACGTCGCTGTCCAAAGATAGATCGATAATGGTAGGTTGATTGCTGGCAGCAGTGAGATCAGAGTCCAGAATGCCCTCTTC